GCTGCTGCTGCTGCTGCTGCTGCTGCGGTGGCGCGTCAGCTTTCAGACTGTTGCTGAGGACAGGGCTGGGGCCAACATGCCAGCAGCAAACGGCGTAGCCGCCACAAGAGCAGCAGCCACAGCAGCAGCACACGCAGCAGCAGTAGCAGCAGCAGCAGCAGCAGCTGCAGCAGTAGCAGCAGCAGCAGTAGCAGCAGCAGCCAGAGCAGTCCTGGCCACAGAATCAGTCACAGCAAGTGTAGCAACGCACGCAGCAGGAGCGACAGCAGCAGCAACACCGCCTGCAGCACCAATTGCTGGTGAGCTGCTGCAGAGCTGCTGCTGCAGCAGCCCCCGCTATGCTACTGCAGCAGCAACTGCTGCTGCTGCTGCTGCTACTTTGGCTGCTGCTGCTCACCCCTTCTTCTGCAACTTTGAGAGTGAGCTCTCTGTTAAAAAGTCCCAGCGAAAACTTCTTCTCGAGCCTGTCCTTTTCCCAGTACAAGTTGTACCAAGACACGCTGCGCGCTGCTGCTGCTGCTGTGCTGCTGCTGCTGCTGCTGCCGCTGCTGCTGCTACCGCTTCTGCTGCTGCTTTGGAGTTCTGGTGAGCAGCAAGCTGCTGCTCCGCTGCTGCAGTTGCATCCGTTCGCGCAGGACGGCGCACTGAGGGCTGGTGAGGCGCTGCTACTGCTGCTGCTGCTGCTGCTGCTGCTGCTGCTGCTGCTGCCGCTGCAGTTGCTGCAGCTTGCTGACTGCAACCTGTGCTCGTTGCTGCTGCTCCGCGTTGTGCTGCTGCCGCTGCTGCTGCTGTCAGGAGGATCCGCTGGCAGTCCGTAGAATTGTCGCACCGATGAGCTCTGAAGAAGCACCACCAGTTGGTCCCCCCGTGAACCCTAAACCCTAAACCCTAAACCCTAAACCCTAAACCCTAAACCCTAGAACTTTATCAACGCTTAACCCTGAGTGCTAAGCCCTAAGCCGTGACCGCTCATTGCTAAACTCTAAAGCCTAAACCCTAGGCCCTCACCCTTGCCTCTAAACTCTAAACCCCAAGGCCTCTACACCCTAAACCCTAAACCCTAAACCCTAAACCCTAAACCCTAAACCCTTTTTTCACCAGCTTAGGCATGAACCTCGTGTTGAAAAAGTTTCGCCACAAAAAGTCTTCTCTCAGCGCCAGCCGGAAGCGGCGGCAGACCTGCATGCACACCCCACTTGCAGCAGCAAGCACCATTTGCTGCTGCTGCTGCTGCTGCTGCGGTATTTCTCTGCAAGTGGCTGCTAATGGTGACGTTTTTGCTGCTGCTGCTGCTACTGTTGCTGCTGCAGCTGCCCGGGGCGCCAGGATAAACAGCGTGAAGGGAAGTTGCTGCGGGTCCTGTCGCAGTGCGGCTGCTGCTGTTGTTGCTGCTGCTGCTGCTGCTGTTGCTGCTGCTGCTGCTGCTGCTGGGCTTACGCACCGCAGCTGTTTTCAGTAGTCCGCCATTAGTGACTCCGATGAAGTGGAAGACAAGCAGCAGCAAATGGCTCGGCAGGTGCTGCAGCCCATTTGGCTGCTCTGCTGCTGCTGCTGGGTCTGCTGCTGCTGGGGATGCTGCTGCTGCTGCTGCTGGGACTTCTGCTGCAGGAGCTGCTGCAGTGGGCGCTTCGGGATATCCTGGGAGCGCGCGAAGTCCCTGTGTCCTGCACCAGCAGCAGCAGCTGCTGCTGCTGCTGCGCAGGCCGTGGACAGGGCAGAGAGCTTGTGCGGCTGCTGCTGCGGCTGCTGCTGCTGCTGCTGTTCGAAGAGCTGCCGCAGAGATGGTGAGCTGTGGGAGCTGCAGGCACACAGCAGCAGTTTCAAGCTCCTGCTGCAGCTGTTGCTGCAGCAGCTGCTGTTGCTTCTGCTTCTGGTGTTGCTGCAGCAGCAGCAGTTGCTGGTGTGTGTGCTTGTCCTGGTGCGGCAGCTGCTGCAGCCCTTCACCCTGCAGCCGTAGCAGCTGTTGCTGCTGCTGTTGCTGCTGCTGCTGCTGCTGCTGCTGCCGAGCTCTCTGAGTGTCCTCCTGAGTCATTTTTCAGTGAAGACGGTCCTAAAGTGGCTGCGTGCAGCTGCAGTTGCTGCTGCTGCTGCCGCCGCCGTTGCTGCTGCTGCTGCTGCTGTGACTGCTGCTGCTGCAGATAGGGCCAATGTCTGGGCAGTGGCAGCGGAAGCAGGGCAAATTAAAAAGCTTATATGACACTACAGTCTCAAGTTGTTGCTGCTGCTGCTAGCGAGTTCTTGCTGCTGCTGCTCATGGGCGCAGCAGCCGTTTAGAGCAGCAGCAGCAGCAGCAGCTGCTGCTGCAGAAATTTCAGATCAGAGGCAGCAGCAGAACTATGCTGTAATGAGGCCCAACAAGCCACCTAAGACTCATTAAGTTAATAAATTCAAAGAAGGAAACTCGAAGGTAGCGAGCTGCTGCTGCAGCAAACAAATTTTTTGACGGCTTTTATAGTACTCAGCAAAAGGGTTTGAGCCACGCAGACCCGATAGGCGGACACGTAAACCCTAAACCCTAAACCCTAAACCCAAAACCCTAAACCCTAGAGCCTACGCCCTCAACCCTGAAAGGCAAAACCTTCTGCAGTATTCCAAAACAAAGTTTTTTTTTGGCACTCAAGTTCAAGTTCTTAGTTATCAACTATTTGCATTTATCCTTAAACCCTAAACCCTAAACCCTAAACCTTAAACCCTAGACTTTGGGGTCCACGCCGCGTGGTCAACAAGCGATGTGCAGTGAGAGGCCACGCCACAGCCAGTGTTTAGGGTTTAGGGTTTGGGGTTTAGGGTTTAGGGTTTAAGGTTTAGGGTTTTCTTTTTTAGTCTTTTCTGCTGAAGACAGAGATTTCAGCGGAAGCAACGTGCTGCACTAATTTCAGGAGGACCAGCAGCAGCAGCTGCAGCAGCAGCAGCTGCTTCTCAGGCCCAATAGAAAGGAAACCCTAGCAGCAGCAGCAGCAGCAGCAGCAGCGGAAGCAGCAGCAGCAGCAGTGGCGGCTAATTTTGGCCTTCTGGAAAAAGCACCTGCTGCCTCCCCGTCGGGTGTACGTACACCTGAAGTCTGGACATTAGGGTCACATCGGGGACATCGCTGCTGCTGCTGCTGCTGCTACTGCTGCTGCTGCTGCTACGGCTGCAGCAGCAGCAGCTGCTGCTGCTCCTCCTGCTGCTTGAACACTATGGTCACATCTATAGACACGCTGTAAGCACTGGAAGTTGCCATCTGCTGGCATTTTCATCTTTTTGCAAACAGTTGAGGAATTAAAAGTACATTTAAAAGCTTTTTGTTGAAAACTTTTTATTTCCGAATTTGCTGCTGCGCATGCAAGTTGCATGTGCTGCAGCTTTTGCTTCACCTAGCCCGGCAGCAGCGCGAATGGATTTAAATATTTCCATTTTTGTTCCAATTGACTGGCCAAATGGACTTTATAAAAATATAAATTTAAATTTAGTTGGCGGTTCAGTTTTCGTCTTTTATTTTTTTCTCGTTTTGCTGCATGCGCTGGGGTGTACGTACACCTGCGCTTTAACCCCAGGCCATTTCCGGCGGAATTTTTTCGCTTTTCTGCCAAATTTTTTGCCAAAAAATTCTTTTAAAAGCCTCAAAAATAATCCCATCTGATTTTCTCTTGTTTGACTTCCTCAAATGACTTCTATTTTCGCAAAAAATGCACTTAAATGGCCTTTTTCGAATTTCGGATTTACGTGCATCTGCTCAACTTCAGGTGTACATACACTTGAACGCGCATGCAGCCCAAATGCTCCGCCGCCCGTAACGCAAAAAAGTCTTTTTAAATTCAAATCAAATACTCTTTTTCTAAATTCAACTTTCCAAGAAAAAGAGCCTCAGCTCCTTTCTCGCAGCTGCCTCCACAGCTTCTCAGCCCACCCCCAGCTAGCCGGCTAGCTAGCTAGCTAGATGGCTAGCTAGCTTGCTAGCCAGCTAGCCAGCCAGCAAGCTAGCTAGATGGCTGGCTGGCTAGCTAGCTAGATAGGTGGGCTGGCGAGCTAACTAGTTAGCTAGTCTGGCCAGAAGCTAGCTAGCTAGCTAGCCAGTTAGTTAGCTAGCCGACGGGCCACAAGCGAGTATCAAGTCCTAGAGCTACCCAGTTGGCTAGCTACCTCGCTAGACAGCTAGCTAGCTGGCTAGCTAGCCGCCTGCCGCAGTTTCTGGCCAGATAGCTGCCTGCCTGTATAGGTGCCCAACCAGTTCGCTAACTAGCTAAGGCAGCAAGTAGCTAGCTAGCTAGCTAGCTAGCTAGCTAGCTAGCTGCTGCCCCGCTGCTGCTCTGGCTAGCTAGCTAGCCGCTGCTGCTCTGGCTAGCTAGCTAGCCGGGGCAGCGGCTACGGCTAACTAGCTAACTAGCTAGTTAGCCAGATAGCTAGCTCGCAATCTAGCCAGCTAGCTAGCTAGCTAGCCAGCCAGCCAACCAGCTAGCTAGCTAGCTAGTTCGCTAGCTAGCCATGCAGCTAGCTAGCTAGCTAGCTAGCTGGTCCAGAGGTAAAGAACGACGCCAATGACAAGCACGATCCCAACTCCAGCAAAGACGATCCCCAAAATGGCCTCAATAGTAAGAGAGGGGGGAGAGCTGTTGCTGCTGCCTGTTTCGGACTCTTCTGCTGCCACTAGCCCTGAGCCAAACATCCTAAACCCTAAACCCTAAACCCTAAGCCCTAAACCCTAAACGCTAAGCCCTGAATCCCACGCCGTGAAAGGGCAGAGGCAGAAATTTGCCGGGTCCTTCTTACCACCGGAACGCTTCTTAGAGGTGCCGCCTTAAACCCTAAACCCTAAACCCTAAACCCTAAATCCTAAACCCTAAACCCTTAGCTCTAAACCCTTAGCTCTAAACCCTAAACCCTAAACCCTGGGCCTCTCGCCTTTGACCCAAACACTCACTTGCGCATTCCTCGTCCGTTGCAAGGGGACCTCGACAAGATTCCAAGCCGATAACTGCAGACAAACCCTAAACCCTAGCCCGTAAACCCTAGACGCTAAACCCTAGATCCTAAACCCTAAACCCTAAAATCTTCAGCCTATAACCCTAAACCCTGAACCCTGAATCCTTAACCCTAGACCGTAAATCATTTTCCCAGTGCCTGCACAAGGCTTAGTCCGTGGGCAGGATGAGTTGTTGTGTGGTGTAGGTTTGGGGCTTAGGGTTTAGGGTTTAGGGTTTAGGGTTTAGAGTCTAGGGTTTACCGTTGGTTGTGCAGGAACCCCCATTCTGTTCTTCAAACGCAATGATCCTCTCCCGTTTGCGGTTTCCCAAGCAGCTGCAATATTCCACATAAGGCGACCCGATCAGGGTTTAGGGTTTAGGGTTCAGGGTTTAGGGCTTAGGGTTTAGGGTTTGGTGTTTAGGGTCTCTGCGTAGACCATGTTCCGCAGCAGCCCCCAGTTGCCCGCAAACCGCCCAGTTAGTAACGGGCACGCCGCCACACAGGTCGTGGCCCCACTTTAGGGTTCAGGGTTTAGGGTTTAGGGTTTAGGGTTTAGGGTTTAGGGTTTGCGTGCCTGCCGTTGCACAAACCCCACTCCGACCAGTTGTCAGGAATGCAAGGAGTCCCGAGGGCCCCCAAGAAGAAGTTGCCGTTGCCAATGCCTCTCACAACGGAGGTTCCACCTTCTAGTTTCTTCACAGTGCCTGCCCCCAAACCCTAAACCCTAAACCCTAAACCCTAAACCCTAGGCCTACGCCGATCAAGTGGTTTGTCTTTGAGAGGCTCGTGTGGGTCCGCCGCAAAGCTTCCAGCAGCTCGCCAGGCTGCAGTCCCGCTGAAGCCCCACCTAGGGTTTAGGGTTTAGGGTTTAGGGTTTGGGGGTACCGTCTTTCACAGAGGCAGCGGGAACGCTCGAATAGAGCGTCGCCCCGTTTTGGCCGTAAACCAAAGCTTCTCCAGAAGTATAAATGATGACAAAAGATCTACTGAGTTCTTCGACTGAGGCCACTGGACCTGTACATACACCTGAAACCTGAGTCTGAAGAGTGGGCGAGTTGAAGAACGCAAAGTGCAAAAAAGAGAAGACAGCGGCATTTGAATAGAATTCAAAAGCAATCCAAAGGGCATTTTAATAAATATAATTCAAAAAAGAAATTAAAAGGCGTTTAATGCACTTTTAATTTGCAAAAAAAATCCCAAAGACCACTTTTTGCAATTCTGAGGACCACTGGACCTGCGAGGTCACCCCAGAAGTCAGTGGCCTGGGCTGAGCTGGGCTGAGGGTTTAGGGTTTGGGCTTTGGACTTCAGGGTTTAGGGTTTGGGGTTTAGTGCCCACGATCTAGGGTTTAGGGTTTAGGGTTTAGGGCTTAGGGTCTAGGGTTTAGGGTTTAGGGGAGGGAGAAAGGAATAAGCGTCAAAAGACCGGCAGACCCTGGAGGTGCAGCAAACAAATAAATTAACAAATGAATGTGAAAAAAGTAAATACGCAAATAAATAAAGAAATAAATAAATAAATAGACAAATAAATAAATAAATATATATACATATATAAATAAACAACATATAATACATAAATAAATGACAAATATATAATGCAAATAAAAGA